ATTGTTGAAACTTTTGAAGAGCTACAGATATAACATTGAGCATGCAAATGTCGATCAATAGACGGACCTACATTCCGAGATTCTTTTTTTTTGTTAAAGTCATCCTTTCTCTTCCTCAAAAAAAGCCAATTTTCGTCAGAACTATCGAAATTAAGATGAATACATGGAAAGCTAACTCGATTCCGGTCTTTCAGAAATGACAGGCTCTTTTTATTCAGTACTTTCGTTTTTTTTGCCGAAGTTTTTGATGATTTCCATCAGTACTTTCTTGAAAAATATACTCTTTTCAGAAGAAGCCGGAAATCTTTAGCGTTTTTTCTTTGCATATGCCTTTTGATCGTATATTCCGGAATCCTTGAAGGAGCTTCGTTGTAGTCAATTATTTTTTTTCGTTTGAAAGAGCATGTGAAAATGTAGGACGTGACAGTCTTTGTTTTTTTTTTTAGTTGAACTTTGTCACTATTATATAAAAGAGCATTTTTATAATTGCAGTGCTATTTCTTAAGAGCTTTTCGATACTTTAAGCGATGAAGTTCTATGCAAATAGTTATACATACGTTATATACTAACAATATTTTCTAACAATTTGACAGGTACATTCGATTATAAGTGAGTTTATCGTCATCAGAATAAGTCATGACATCATTGGTCTCTATTAATCGACTCATTATGCTCTATGCTGGTCTATTTATCGTGATTATAGGGCTTGCGGGTAGTGTCATGCAAGTGTTTATTTTAACGACTGTATCCTATTACCGAAAGACTCCGTGTACATTCTATTTTATTATTGCCGCTATACATGAATGTGGTCAGTTTATAACTGCCATTGCTTCGCTTGTCGTTGCCGCATATCTGGACATTGACATGGCGCGTATTTCTGTCATTTGGTGCAAGCTTCGTTCTTTTTTTCTTGCAAGTTTTTGTGCCATTCCTTTGACGTGTCCGTGTTTGGCTAATATCGATCAGTTTCTAATCACATGCCAAAATGTTCGATTTCGTCAACGGAGTAATATTAGAAATACATATCGAGCTTGTTTGTTCATTGTTATCATCTGGTGGCTTCATGGTACCCTCTGGTTATATTATCAGGACATGTCACCTATTACAGGCGTTTATGTTTATCTCAATAATGCGTTTTTTGCTTATGCTATATTTTTTCTCTGTATTATTCTCTGTGGTATCCATATTTTAATAATGATAATATTTGGAGTTTTAGCTTATCGAAACATAAGAAAAACAACCGTTCTCATGCATCGGCATGCTGATCGACAGTTGACAACCATAGTTTTCATTCAAGTCTTGCTTACCTTAATAGATCTTAGTCCATACGGTATTGATTCTGCTTATGCGATTATTACGATGAATATTCAAAAGAATGCTGATCGAAAGGCCAAGGAGGCTTTGGTTGCCAACATCACTTATCTTTTTGGTTCACTCACTTATGGAGTAAGTATTTTGTGAACTATGTTATTCATTTTTTGTCGTATGTTTGTTTATAGGGACGATTCTATCATTTCATGTTTACATCAGTTAGTTTTCGTCGTATAGTAAAGGATCGAATCTTATGGTGGCGACGACCACGACGTACAGCGCCTTTGACAAGATAATTTTCATATTATTCATAACATTTTTTCAATTATCATTTACCTCATAATCGATTATTCGTATTTTCTTTGAAAAAAAAAACAACTGGCAGCTTTGTACATTGCAATTATCAGAATAATTAATGTCTCAATATTATTAATAATAGTGGAATTCATAGTTCACTGGAAATGGAAAGATACTTTCGAATTATCTTGGTTTTGGCACTAGATTAATACTTTCGTACGAGTGAGGTGCGAAGCTTATTTAATCATTCGTGACAGTATTCGACTTGAGCGCTCATTTGTGAGTGCTTTGATGAACTTACGATGTTAAATTTTGACTTTCCTTTTTAAATCTCAGCATAGTCTATTAACACTAAAAATTAAAGCATAGTGCATGATCTTAATACCCTTTTCTTACGAACTAACTTGTCAATGGATTAAAAGTGAAAAGATTGAAACAAAAAAATCCTGAAAAAACTTTCCCGAATGTAAAATAGATCTACCTGGCGCATTATGTATAGCGTTGTTTCACTTTAGTGTTGAGAGCGATGTCTATAGTTTTCTACTCTTGTGTTGTGATGATTTGTTATATGTTATTGCCATGTTTTCATTCATATTATTGTATTAAACGACGAGTTGATCATCAAATGAGAGTTCTTCTCGCATAGAATAATGTACAAAAGTAAGAAAATGACGGCTCGAATATGATTTATCTCATGCAGAATTCAACACTACGGACAAATCAAAGATCATTTTCTGACTATTGGTATACAATATCAAATAAAAGCTTCTATGTGTTCTACATGCATAGATCTTCCTTGAATCCATTAATAGTATTTCGGTTTATAATTGGCTAGCTGTACTAGATCTTGAAATCTCTGAAAGATTCATTCGTAGCTATTGAGCTCGATCTAGCAGATAAAGTAACTTTTAGTATATCGATTAAAATGGAACTATTACTCGACATTAGATCGCTTCCTGAAAATTAGCTGGATTCATGAGAATTTCAACAAAACCCATTCGAACAGCCTACAACTTAAAAAAGGATTGAATTCAATAGAATTTTTCTAAAAATGTAGTCTCAATTCGAGGATCTAAAACTACTCGATATTTACATCCAAAAAACTCCTTTACCCAGAAAATCTTTGAAAAACGCCAATAGACTCGGATATTTAGCATCATAATAAATGTTGTCACCTCTCTGAGGATCACCATGATACTCGTTGTCAATAAATACAAAGTTCGTTTTTATATCTTCGATGTCCTTGAAACTTTCATATTGTGTATTGATGATTTGATCAATAGGAAATCCGTGAGAACGAACATTTTGCAAAAGATGTTCAGCAAAACAAGCAAGCATTGATGTGACACATACGAATTCATAGACAGTTTCATGTGATAATTGACATTCTCGTAAAACTCTATCATATATGGGCATTGTTCGCGAACTCTTGATATCACATACTGCATTGCATTGAATGCGTTCTTGACAAATAAAAGTAACACTGTACTCCAGAGAGGGAATAGAATACCTTCAAATTACAATAAAAAACGGTGCGAAACAGTTACAAACAATGTTCCAAAAATGCCTGCATTGTGATAAATTGCAATGATTTTTCTTTTCGAGCAGACCAAGTGCTTAAAAAAATGCCAAAATAATACTTCCAGCACAAACCGTTTTTTGACATTATTTGTGACTGTTTTGCATCATTATAATTAGGTCGATTAGAAAGGCATTTTAATATCACTTTTTCATCTTTATGTTTGTCTCAGTATTTATTTTATCTTCTTTTCATTCATCTAAGTCCTTGCTGCATATCTTGATCTGCATGTTTTCTGGATATCTGTGGTACAATCTCAAATATTTGATCTAAACAATTATATTTCAATCTAGAATGTGCTCAGTCAAGTAAATAATGGCGAAATGGCCATTAAAATGCATATCGATTCGTTCAAGAACTATTTTGACCATTTTATGATCATCGGATTTATTTCTCAGAGTTTTGTGCTAATTTTGATATGCGATTTACTAGTCTATTGTTACAAGCCATCGTATTTTACAAAAAATTTAAGAATATAGGTCAAATTTCACGCTTCGAGTCGATTGAAGTTTTCGATCGCGAAGTCAAACTTAGGAGTAGTCAGAAACGGTTAGTTTTGCATAATTTTTAATAATGAAATGACAATTCTCATATTGTAAAGAATTATACTCTTCATAAAACTCACTGTATTTTCAAGTTTTTTCCATGAAGATCGAAAGCCTGTAGTCAAAAATAGAATCATCTCTTTTTAAAGATAATGGATTTCATTTTTGTCCATCAAATATGTAACACATCATAGAAAATTGATCTAGAACTGTTGTTTTTTAACGTGTGAAGAACGAAAGCGATTCTAAAACAACGTGATATTCTTATCATTATGTTTATTTGTCAAGTAAAAAGAGTCTGAGAAATTCGAACAAACATAGTTAACTTTTATTTAATAACATCTTTGTGACAAAATAGCATATTCGGTCCATAACGCATTAATCTGATGATTTATAAGCATCTATACAAAACTCGTTTCCTTGCATAACACTTTCGAAATGAAACATTCTCAATTATTTTCCAAAAATAACGCTGATAATAATGAAATCTTGAGCATAACTATAACAACTTGTCCGTATGTTTAATGTTTTTCATAATTTTTTCATTAAAAGAGCTTATGGTACTCTGGATTCTTCGAAAAAACATTGTTAAATTGACTAGGGGTGTGTGTGGGTGTGTGTGGGTGTGTGTGTGGAGTGGGTGTGGATTGGGTGTGGGTGTGGAGTGGGTGTCAGTGTGGGTGTGTGTGGGTGTGGGTGTGGAGTGGGTGTGGAGTGGGTGTCAGTGTGGGTGTGGGTGTGGGTGTATCGGTTTCCTTTTATATACATCCACACCCACCCACACCCACACCCACACTCACCCACATCCACACCCTCATACCCACACCCACACTCACACCCACACCCTCTCCCACAGCCACACACCCATACCCACACCCACCGACACTCACACTCACACTCACACACCACACCCACACACGCACACCCTATTTCTAAATAATATATTCATAATATTTTTTTTAACTTACGGTTGATTCTTTAAGAACAAATCTTTCATCAGATCAATTATAACATCTGTAAAGAATTTGTTATTCAATTCATTTTTGTGTTTTGATTAAAAGTAGTTGAGTCCCGACTATATGGAAACACTCTGATACATCAGTTTTTAGAATAAAGTTTGCTCGAACAAATATCTAAACGATTGCTCTTTTTACATACTGTTACGAAAATTCCTCGTTCTAGACAACAGATGAATGAGCTAACAGTGATTTCTTGTTCGAAGGTATTAAACTTGAATAGTTGAATAAAAAAGAAAGCAACAATTGACAATGGCAGATGATTTTCTTAATCATGTTGAAATAAGAAATGTCAAATATGAAGAACTTGAACAATTTTGGAATATACAACAAGAATATTTAGATGATTGGACATTCACTCATTTACAAAATCAATTTAACAAATATTCATCGTTATTTGTAGCTGTTTTTATTAATAATATTATGTGTGGTATTGCATATGGATGTGAATATGATGAAATAACAATTACATTACAAGGTATTAGTGTATTATATAAATATTGGAGGCATGGAATTGTAAGTAAATTATTAAATTTTTTTGAAACAAAAGTCAATAAAACAAAAATTACAGTAGGAGTAGCCTCTGATGATGCTGTAGAAAAATTTTATCTTAAAAATGACTATAAACCAAAACAATTTCTTATTCGAATTAAATCAAATCAATTACCGAATGATTATGAACAAAAAAAATTAAATTTTCATGTTATTAATGAAAAAATATAATCACATAAATGAAACAATCATATTATATATTGAAACATTACAATATGATAATGAATTAAAAGATAATATTAAAAAAAATTTTCATTCATTTGAAACAATTTATATCATGGAAAAGACACTTTCGTCTAATATATAATTAATCATGATCTTCAATAGTATATTATAAGCGTTAAAAGATAATGACAATTTTGGCTTTGTATCTCAATTGATAGTTAATAGAAATAAAGAAAGAAAAAGTGTTAACTCAACCGATGTAGGATTAAAATGAATATGAGTGTGATCGGAGAAATTCGTGTAGATATGTTTTTTGTCTTCATCCACATGCAAACTGTACTTAGGATCTTAAAACGAATAAATGAAACAAACTTCTTTGGATTTCTCAAAGATAACTGTTTCAGAGTCTGTTTAGGATACGAATTTTAAGATCCTTGTACACTTTTGAGTCAATCGAATCAGTTCAAATGAACTTTGAAGGTCGAACACTGGAAAGAATCTTATTCAGAATAACAAATGTCTTCGCTCTAGATCTTTGACGAATGCTTTTGAAATCATTCCTTGGATCGTCTCTATTATCTGAGAAAGCCAATAAACCCTAGTCGAAACGTGTACTTAAGCAATGACGAAGATTTCGACCGAGAGTGAAACAGGATTTTATTGAGATCCTACACAGCTTATATTATATTCAAATCAGGACTTGATCGATACACAAATGTGATTAGAAAAATTTCTCATGTTTTTTATCTCGATTAAATAAAAAAATAAATTATTTCTCTAGAAATAGTTTTTTTATCGATATTTTTGTGCTTTTGGACCACATCGATGTTTAAACTTGTCTACCTTAGGTCTTGCAGGTAATGTATTAAAACGTTTTGATCGAGCTGATTGTGCGTCAACGTTCTTTAGGTTTTTTTTGTTTTGATAGATGGGTAACACTTCACAGTAAGAAAAAAACAGCTTATTATAAAAGTCGTTCGATGCAAACGATATTGGAGAAATACACCAGTTTGCAAATCCTGGAATGTCGATGAAATCATATGTTGTTAGCGTGTCATTAATGGAGTTGGTTCTTTCAGATGAGCTAGAACAGGGTATGATTTTCGAGCTTGCTGATAAACAATCCGTGCCATCGTCTGCTTCTGGCACATAAGCACCTCTCCAAGCGAATGTATTGCAAAAATCATCAGGAAGAGGCTTATCATCGTCGTATAAATACATTAAGGTGTCGATCTTACGGTGTTGAGCAATTTGTTGAGAAGTAGGTAGTAGACACCGCTGCTTTTTAGAAAAGAATGAATAACAACATTCTTCTGCTATTATTAACGTATGGTGACGAAATCGAGAATTAAAAATAGTTGAATTGGAGAGAATGATTGTGATTAAATAAAAAATATAATCTAGTGTGGAAAGATCATATAAATCATATTGATTTTTACCAAGAGCTATGATGAACTCTGCAGCTGTCTGTCGTGTTTCGGAGATATTTGCCTTGTGATATACAATACGTTTTTTATCATTATCAGTTTTGATTGGATTTGATAAGACTAATGATTTGTATTTTAGAAGAGGTAGTGGAAATAAATCGATACCAAGATAATCAAATAATTCAAGTGTGTCTAAAATATTATTCTCTTCTGATAGTTCGTTAAATAATATGTATGGTTGTTCAGAAGTAATTGAACGAAAAATAGACATGAACCAATTATATTCAATTGGATGACTTAAAACATATTCACCATTTTCGTTTTGAACTAATAAAAAATCATCTTTATGTGTCACAAGATTAAATAAGTAAGGCACACGATTAAGTTCTTGTTGAGTGAGATGAACAAGTTTATTAGATGTTCCAAAACGAAATGCATACAATACTGTTTTATTAGTATTGGTTATATCAAAAACTTGAGTCATTACTTGAAACGTCGAATCGAGCAAAATGGTTAAATATGCTCTCAATAAAAACGCTTATAAAGAAGGAAAAAGAAAAAAATTGGTTTCTTTTTTTTTGTTCTCATGATATTGAGTCATCAGTGTATTGGTTTTTGCCAAGCATCATCGCCATTCATGAAGAGTCTTTCCGACAGTATATGTTGGAAAATATACAGTATACATTTATATTCTATCCATAATAGAAATACTATTGACAATGAAATTGATGGAATATTTTTATGTAAATCGAATGTATTTTAATTGAATCGAGAAAGCGTTTGTGATGATTCATGCAGAAGCATACTAGGAGAAAGAGGCAGTGGCGACCCCTCTCGGAGTCAACGCCTCGCGAAGAATATGATCAGCTCTTCTGGGAGTGCAAGGTAGCCCTCCTGGAATCTTTGATGTTCTTTGAGAAGAAAAATCTTGATAAAATACTGAATTTGATAGCGACATCTTTTTTAATTTTATAATTATCAGACTAAGCTTTGCCGATTAATTCATACATTTTTGGATAGAAGTTCAACTTCGAATTACCGAGTACGTTTTCATAAACGATGTCAACCGTCGAACATCAGTATTCGAGATACTTCAATCGTGTATTTTTCTCATCTTACCCAATTGGATTCATTTTGAGCTAAAACTTATATATCTCACTGATCTTGGTTTTTGATCAATGTGCATTCGAAGCAACAGAAACCCATCCCATGTCGTCTTCTTTTATAAAGAAACGCCGCTATAGCGTCAAAACGCTATGTAACACCGTTATTGAGCAGAATGATGACGCTATATATCGCAATATTAAAGTGTTCTGAGCGGCAAAATAGCGACACACAGCAGAAATTGGCGTTATGATCCGCTATGCTTTTACGCCAAATAACGTATTTTCTACAATAAAATTTTCTTTAATACCATTGATCAGAAAATACATTGATTTATAGTTTGAGTATGTTTTCGTGTATTGTATAATATATATTTTTTGACATTATGCCTATGACTTCGAAATATATCTAATAATTGATTTAAGCGTCAGCAGTCAAAATATCAACGTTTCTGTCAATTGATTGTCCCTTTTTGTGTTGGTTGTTTTACTGCAGCTTACAAGACGAGACTGATGATCAATCATCACATTAGTATACATAAAACTTCTGCATTGTTCAAAACGAATGGTAGAAATTACGGACTGTTTTCTACTTATACATTATTTCAGTTGATGTTGCTATTGATCCAAAACTATAAATAGCGAAAGCATGGCACACGCCCATTTAAAAATATTTTCCATTGAATAGGAAAATCTTAAAATTAAGTATCAACAAAACAAACAATGTTCATCCAATAAAACATGATTATATCAAATTTTCTACTAATTTTCCAGTTTTATATGGTTCATTGCATAAAACTAAAAATCTTTTTTATATCTCTAATTGGAAAGTAATTGTGATTCTGTCACTTTCAATTACTCTCCCAGCACAATTTTTATTTATTTATGGAACGTTTAATTGATAGATCCTTCTACATAATCACCTTTCTTCTTCATTTTTTAATAATAAAGTACAAGAGAACAAAATGATGTGGGTACAGCTGTTCGTACATGTATGTTTTTTTAATCTTTTTTTCGTTTAAAAAATGATACGGAAGATGAACTTTCACTGATCTCGTCCGGTGTTATCGCCTTTTTTCTTCCTCTGTACCAGTGTTATAAGAGAAAAGAAATGTATTTGTCAACGACTGTACATTTCTCATTTTGTTGTCTTATTCACTCTTTGGTCAAAGGTCAATGATTGATGTAAATAAAAAATACAAGCAACAAGTGAATGTTCATGATCATCACTTATGAGAACATGAATGAGTTTTTTTATAAGTGTCTTTCGTCTGAAAGAAAACGATTATGTATGAATAATATAAATTAAAGATATATAGTTGCTGAAAATTTTCGACGTTTCGGATTTCTTTCAGTTATNGCAAGTGACGAAGGTCCCCATGTTCGGGTGACAGCTGTTCATTCGTTTGTTGAAACGATTATTCCCTCCTAATCGAATTCAGAGAGGATGGTACCCGACAGACGATGATCATGATTGACGAAGAGAATAGGAAAGAGTTATGAAAGACTACTATCCTTTCTTGTTCGTTATAAAGACGTGGAAGATTTTTCCGGATTTTTCTTTTCCGGATTTTTCTTTTCAGGATTTTTGATTTTCCGGATTTTTGGTTTCCGAATTTTTTGTCTTCCGGATTTTTTTCTTCCGGATTACAAGACATATTCTTTGTCAACGACTGTACATTTCTCATTTTGTTGTCTTATTCACTCTTTGGTCAAAGGTCAATGATTGATGTAAATAAAAAATACAAGCGACAAGTGAATGTTCATGATCATCACTTATGAGAACATGAATGAGTTTTTTTTATAAGTGTCTTTCGTCTGAAAGAAAACGATTATGTATGAATAATATAAATTAAAGATATATAGTTGCTGAAAATTTTCGACGTTTCGGATTTCTTTCAGTTATTATCACTGAAATTCCAAGTGCCGTAGTAATGCTATATACATTTATACTCTGTTATTTTCCATGTTTCTTTTTATTGCAGATGCAGTTTTCTTCATACATGCGAGGCGTTATTGATGCTAATCGTAATGACTTTGTATCTGATGTGGTAAGTGTATAATTCATTCTTCTACTGTTTTATATTGTAAATTTAGATGTTCACATCACCTGACGTGGATTCAAGTATCAATTCATTGAAGTTCTATTATTGGAAGAAAAACTCAATTATATAATTATAATTATGGTAGAAGTCTTTATAGTGGAATAGGTTTGGTAGTACATCCGAGTGGCACAACAGATCACAACTTAGACCGATTAATATAAGGTAATCTTTCAGCTTTTAGAGTGATTTTACAATAATAATTGCATATTTTTCAGAAGGTACTACAAAACTTCAAATTAAACAATGCTTAATCGGAGCAACTATGCAATGAACGTTTTCACTAACTATTTTCTAGTTAAACAACGATTAACGATTCGTACAATAAAATCTTTCAAATACAACGAGTACTTTTGTACGATCTATCTTGTTATGTTATATTTTTCGTATATGTATTTTTTGAAAAAAAAATTGTTTTTTTTCTACGTATTACATTTGTTTCTCTTTGAATAACGTGTAACATTTATGGAAGTTGTTAATTATTATTTGTAATTTCTTGTAAAATCATATAAAAGTTTGAAAGTATTATACCTATGTTGCACGCATTTTCAATTGTACCTAGAAATGTAACAAGCAGAGTTTACTAACAAGACTGATGGATTGAATTACCCAAATATTGCAAAATATCGCAATATAGCGCGTAATATTGGTCTATATCATCGTAATATCGCGCTATAGCGGACATAGCGGAGCGCTAAAAGGGGTCACAATGCGATCGCAATAACGGCGCTATAACGCCGCTATCGAATCGTTATCGACGACATGGGGCATATCCTTACTCACACCCACACCATCTTATTATGATAGAAATAAAAAGGTAAAGATAAATTGCGAGATCAAAAATATCTTCTCGAATTCTTTTTTTTTATTAATTTTCAAAATAGACTTTCTTGTTGTTTTTTGTTATTTTTCTACTTTTTAAACACCAGAAGAATTAAATATTGATTGATGATAAGTCCAGATTAATGCTATGTTAGATGTGCCTGTAACTTTTGTCTTTTCTCTCAATTACAATTATAAAAACAGCATGGCAAGCAATGAATAAGAATATTGTTGATTGAATTTCTTCGTATATTCAGCACAAAAGAAAATATAAAACTCATCGATTGATATTTAAGTAAATGTTGAAAAAGCCATATGCTGCTTTTTACTTAGTTTCAGGAAATTCATCGCAACTACCAGGCCTAAGAACCAACTATAACAAAGGAACCGATTCATTTTGACTGAGCATATCATAACTGCTACACTTTCTCTAGAAAGATGCATCATCAAGCTATAAAAAAATAAAATAAAACGCTGAACGGACCCACCAATAATAACCAAAGTTCTTACAAAAACGTCAAAATTCGAAATCATAAGAATACTGCGGAATCTGAACACTGTGCTCCGCAGAGATTCTCTAGTATACATTTTTTTCTTTGTTTTGGTGACATTGGTATGAAAAGAACTTCATGGCAATGCTCGTAAAAAACGACACCTAAGCTTTCTTGTTCGGGCTACTATCATCAAAGGAAAGAAAAGAAATATATGCTTATTGTTGAATGAGTAACATCTTTGTACATTTGACAAAACATTCTGAACAAAGTCAATTCTGACTGAAACGTTATTATTGCAAACTAGGAGTTCTTCTGAATTATGCAAAACCAAATGAGACGAGAATTACTATTTTGATAGCATGTTTTAATCCCTTCAGTCAACACAAAACCATGAACAATATTCTTTTCATTTTGACAGGTGGTCCCGGTGAATTTGATTGAACACTTATTCAATATGCAGCCATTTTTTTCCATTTACTTATGGTATAACTATTATACTACTTGATCATCGTGATGTTGACCTATTGATTTTTTTGAGTTGCGACAATTATAGTTTACAAAATATAACGGTTGAATATATTTCTTATCTTACTTCGAAATGTGGCATCGAAGGTTGAAATCAATTTGCAATCAATGCAGCGGCTCATGATTTATCGATTCAAATTCAGTTTTATCAATCCATTCTTTCTGGTTATGTGTCTATGCATAGTGGTAGCTATGGAACTGTATGGCTCGATTGTTTTCTTCAAGTCTGTCCACATTTGGTTCAGTCAGCTATTAATTAACTTATTGTCAATTTCAAGCAGAGTGTAATCGGTACTTTTCAATTGATGAACCATAACATTGGACTGATGAAAAGCCGCAAAGTTTATTTCGCAACATGGCACATTTGAACATGTCCTTTTATGATCGTATTGTCATACCTGCCGTCATATTTCGTTCAAATCCTTGTAACTAAGAATA